TTTCCTCCAATTATTAAATTTTATCTGTGAAACTACATTATCGACTCGATCGTTACATTGTTGAGTCAGTGAAGCAGTTTCATCAATAAACAAGAGGGAAATTACTCTTGTATTGCATATAGTATAGTTATTTTTGCAAAAAATAGCAATATGCTTCCGAATGGTTATTTTGCACAGCATTTCCTTCTGTCATGTATAATTCATTGTTTATTTCATTTTATTAAATTGAATAGCATTTTCTTCAACTAATTTCGTCACATTTTCAACTCAGTTGAAAGTTATCATCATCAGTATTCTTATTATTCTTTTCTTCTATACAACCAATTGTCTTTTTCATAGTTCTATCTCTCCACTCAGCCCGCCGATAAAATGTTATATAAAAAATATTATTAAAAAAACAGAACTTTTGCAAATTTTGAAATAAATTGAAATAACGATTATTGCTATCGCCTTTATCTTCGAACGCGGTCAAAAGGACATCCATACAATTTTTTTAAGTCATCATTCCATTCAGTACATTTTTTTTAATTGCCGTAAGAAAAACAATTTTTACAAAATTAAAAAAAAAAAATTAATGAATGAATTAAATATTAACGGCGATTGAAAGGGCTCAACAATACCTGCGTTTGAGGGAAAAAAAAGATTCAATTCCTTTAATTCATTAGCGGATAATCGTACCCACATGTATACATCCGTACAAACACGTTCGAAAAATTGCATTTTCGGACTGTTTGTTTTCAAAACTTAAATTTGAACGATTACAATTCTTCCGTTCCGGAGTCAAAATGGTAATTGCAAGAGAAAAGACAATTTTAAAAATTCGTATATACACAGGGGTTCCTTTTCACCTTAAATTAAACTCAAAACGAATTCCTATTCAGTTTGAATGACACTGTTAAAGAATTTAGGTGAAATTTCAGGTAGATGGAAAGAAATTCTCTTGACAAAGTGAAGGCCAGGAAAAAAATTCAGTGCCGGCGCTGGAAACTTTGAGTAGCATGTGAATTTTTTCCGTTCTTATATGGAATTTTCCGAAATCCCTAGAAATTGAACCTTAAAAGCACGAGAATTTCTCTAAAGGATTTTTCTCCGTGTATATAATTTTTTAAATTATATAAATTAGTAATTAACTTTGCAAGATGAACAATTCGTTAATTAATTGAAAAATCAAATTCAGAAGTTTAGCAGTAATTGTTTAATAAGAATTTGACATTAAAATTATTTCCAAATATCCATGAAAATAGTGAATCTTAATTAATTTACAGTTGATTTCTTTGAATATTACTAAAGTAAAGATTTTCGCCGATCTCTGTTTTTCACATGTTCTATGCGAATAAATAATAAACCGTTTTGGCGATCTTTTTCATAAACCCATCAGCTCAAAGTATCGATTGTAGGAAAATTCCTCATTTGATTTTTGGAGTCATTACAATAATTTTCTCCCTTCGGGTCGAAAAGTTAAAAATTAATACAAATAAGTATGAGCCAGTTAAATATCTCCTTCAATCTTCAATTAGTTCGAAATTCAGCGTAGTTTACCATTAGATATTCATGTTTTCATTGAAAATTTATGTAAACTGGGGAATTTTTGACTCCCTCTGATCCAAAAATTTGGAATTCAATTGCATTTCCAGTGAAATTGAAACATTCAGTTTCCAATGCCCCAAATCGAATTCGATATGTCGCTCTGATAAAAATTATCGCTCAACTCCACTTAATTTGATTTTCCTCTAGCAGCGAAGAGTGCTGTTGTCGATTCAAATTAAAATTTCTCAACTCTCTCACTGCCACTACTTCAACCTCATCAACTTCGAAAACAGAAAGAATAGACCATGCTCCAGAAACAATAATCCCGACTAAACGACAAAAAAAATGCTACAAAGGCAAAAGTGAGCGGATGTTAAGGATGGAACGGCGATACTGAAGTTAATTAAAACGTGATATCAGATATTGGGAATTGAACGTATACTGACCCCGGCACCGTGTTATTCTACGCCTCCGTTTCTTTTAGCTGCAGGTGTGAGTATCAAGGGACATCCGTCGCAGCGCAATGTTCAAGAGGGAGGGAGAAGTTATGGCGCTCGAACGTCTCCAGCAGCGATCGAAAGCATTTATATCTTCAGCGCACTATATAGGTTACTCCATGGACTCATTGTTTCCCCAGGATTTCACGACAAAAACCCTCGGCCAACAATAACTGTGACACGACTGCCAACGATCGCCATTTGTCTCTCCCATTTTCAGTGTTTGGACAGGGTCGGGGCGAGGGCTCTCAGTCTGGGTGAGCAGCGCAGTAGAGGAAAAGAAAAATTGTTCGAGATTAAAAAGGAGTATTAAACACATTTTAAAACAAGCACTCGTGGCTGGAAAAATATCTTTTTAATTAAAAATAGCTCCCGTGTACCGAGTGATTCTCTTTCACTTTAATTTTTGAGGTTTTTTTTTATAAGAGCATCCGATATGTATATGGAGAGAAAAATTCGGGAAATTTCGGGAATAATTGCATCACTAAAAGTGTTCAATAGAAACCATTTTTTTCGGGAAAATTTGCAGAATTTCATTGAGAACGAGACCGTCTCTCCAAAGTTTTGTCTCGTAAAGTGTCTCGCGACATCACTAATTTCTTGTCTTTATCTAAAAAAAATTGTCGACCTTACATCGAATACAATCCCATAAAGATATTGTTAATAAAATTCTCCTCATCATGATAGAAAAAAGATAACGAAATGATGTTATAAATGCTAAAAGGTTTGGCAATGTTCGGAGGAGGTGGGCTTATTCGTCGGTGAATTTGCGATGCGGATATTGGCTGGGCGTGTGCTTGGAGCGATATTAAAACGATCCTGCGAGAGAGGGATACGCGAGGCAGAGGGTGGAGTTGGAGGGGATTAAATAAAAGAAACGATAACGCGGCAACTTTGCGAACGCGGGTGGAGGGGGGGATATTCGTCGTTATTGAAACTGGTGTGTCACTGTAGTTTCGTTGCTCCTTCGCTTTTTTTTTATTACTCGCTCCACTATACTCCACCAGTATGAGGGAACAGTGTAGGTACATACCATCATAAGAACGCTCCAACATTCTCGGGGAGTTAACTACCCGTCCTTTCATCGGACGCCGAAGGATCACCCTGGGTAAAACGCTAGAAAGTTATAAGTCTTTAAAGTTTAATTTCAAGTTAACTCACTTCCTCAGGTCCGACGACCGGGGGAAAACTTGCACGGCTGCATACACCCGCGGCTAGGGGAGCACAGTTCCAAGCTTACTTCTATATAGTTTGATGGGGAGAGGGGGGAGGGGGACATGAAACTTTGCCGAACGGGGTTTAAGATTTTCTGCGATACACCTGGAATTTCTTATATGCCTTCACTCTTGTCCTCACGAATTCCATTGGCTCTGCCTCCACTGTAACTCGATGACGTCGTTGGCAACTCTCTGCAAATAAGGGGGAAAAATGAGTTGCACAAAAAAAAAAACCTGAATTGAGTATAAAGTATACTTGATTCAAAGATATTATTCTTGATAAGATTGGCGATTCTTCTACAAGAATATGTTAAAGCATGAGGCCTTTCTCGGGTCATGTGAGTTGGGATGCCTGAGAGAATTAAGCGATTGAAGAAAATTTACTTGTCTCAAGAAAATAGGTTTCAGATATTAGAAATTTTTTTTCTCAGTGTAAACGTAACAATCAACAAAAATTCATCATGAACCAAAACCAGTTTTTTCACTTTGACAGTGTTCCCCCTCCACTAAAAATCCACTCGCGATATTCGAAAACCTCCTCCCGATATTGGAAAACTGCATTAAAAACTTTACGAGCGGCTAGTACAATTTTTCATTAAACTTTTCCGCAACTCGTGTTACTTTTGCCAACAAAAATGACGAGACCATATCCAGATAAGATGAAAACCGGATGAATTCTCCTCCCGAGAAGACTAACGAGGTCAGCGAGAGACTTGAGGTCAGCTGTTCGATTCCACCAGCTCACTAGCATCCCATCCCCACCGGACAGTATGCGCGACCGTTCCGTTGTCCGAATCGAGGAAGATACTACCATTTTTGTTTTCATTCCCAGAAAGTTGGGGATAAAAGGGACGAGGGCTTTCCAGTCTCGTTGCGCCCACTCCCTGTTGGACGCAGAAAATGTCCTCGTTGGTTGAAGGAGGTAACTACAAAAAGAGAATGAAAAAAAAAAACCCAAGATAAAAGAGGAATAACGTCTGGAGGTGAAAGTAGTAGACTTAAACTTTGTATCACGTGTACGAGAATGGATATTGGGGGTTATAAAAGTTTGGCCGTGGTGTCACGGAAAACCACCTAAAACGTACCGAGAATATCTGCCAACCCCTTCTCTCACTCTCGTGTCGCTTTGTAATGAACGACGCTGAACCCAAAAAACATATAAATAGCTATTTGATAATAATCTCCGAGAGAAAGAAGACCGAAAAAAAAAATCCCGGACAATAATCACAAGATTTTTCCCGGTGAATCAGATCGAATGAGGATTTAGGGCGATCCTATTCACTGGGGGGATATCCCAGGAACATTATTCTGGGTTACAATCGGCAGTTGAAGTCAGTGGTCGCACTATTCTATCCCGCATGAAATTACGATCAAGGGTTGGCGGGGGCGAGGAGGAAGGGTGAATGAAAAAGATAAAAAGAGATACCACCGCAAATTCGCACCCTCCCCGAACCACTCTCGCCCCTTTCGCCTCTCTCCTCCCTTCCCTCCACCCCATTTTTTGTGCGGCTGGTCCTTGCTAGGGGGTGGACTCATCTAAGAATGTATTGGCGAGGATGCCAACGGTGCGCTCGACGATGGTTCTAACGCTGTGGGGTGTTGGGCAGAGGAAACGTCACACGGGGGATGAAGTTGGAGGGGCTGCACTGTCTCGGGGTGCACCAACCGCCCCTCACCTCCCTCTTCAACGAATAGTTCCAACTGTGGACGTTGCGATCACAGCGCCACGTCTCTACCACCAGCAGTACGACCTCAGCATCCCCGGTGGTGGTAACGCGCGCGTCAACCCTCCGTTTTTTTCCACGATTGTTTCCCTTGCATTGGAGAGGATAAAAAAAAATTTCAATTTTTTTTTACAATTTTTTTTCTGTGAGATATGTATTTGCATGTGTCGGATGGTGCTTCAACCCTTGGTTTACGTCAGTTGTGATTCATTATTTCAGTGTTTTTTTTGTTTTTACTGTGGATGATGAAGTGTGTCAGTTGATCGGGGGAATTTAAAATTATTCTGATTGAATTTCACTGGTTGGGGTTGAGACAGTGTGACTAGATAATGCGATGAGGGATCAAAGTGAATTGATTATCAGGATTGCAGAGCCATCAAACAAATTGAATTAATTATCACTCGGTTGAAGATTGAGAATTGTGTGATGAGAGTTTCAAGTGTTGAGTCAGTTTGACTAATTGATGCTGGTGAGCTGAATGTCGATGCCGGTTTACTCGATTGGATGACAATAATTAATCGTGAGGATGAATAGTGCTGTTCACCATGTTTGGATTGACAAATCGCGTCGATAATGGATACGCGACAGTACCGGGATCTTCGCTTATGATCGATTAAATTATCCCTATCCCAAGAGAATTGTTTTCCAATGAAACTCTCAGGTGAATGAAGAAGAATATAGTGACCAGCCATTTTCGAAAATAGAAAAACAAAAATCTGAGGATAAAAAATAAGTGAAAGAGCGCGGAGTTTTGAGTGATCAGTGCGGTTCAGTGGAGCCAGGATAGATCTCCCTCAACAGCTGTGAACACTTTCATCCACGAGAGTGAGTGCTACCGACATAATTGTTATAATTCCAATTTAATAACAGACAACAACCATTACGAAATCTCTCGTTAAATTACCGGCAATTTCCCTCCTCTATTTTCAAGCAAAATTGTCAATTATCCCCGGAGGTAGGATAATTAAAGTGATAGCCCACTGCAATTGCCCGCAAAAATTTTAACAGTTTAACATTAAACCGTTAAAATTGTATTAGCTATAAAATAACTCAATGCACTCAATGGGAGGAAAAAATACTCCCTGTGGAAAGGCGCACAGGTCAATTGCAGGATGTAGTGGAGGATGAAATACAATGGACTCTCAAACGTGCGGAAAAAACAGGGGGTGGAGAGAGGAACGGACAGAGTGAGAGAGGGTGAAATTAAATTAGGACAATTGGAAAGTTCCCGTGGAACGTATCACTAGTAATTAAACTCCAAACGAGTCTTTCACTGACAATCAATCTGGTGTGTGGTGTGTTAGAAGGCCGCTTGAATTATAGTTTAGAGTCTGAGGGGAGTTCATTGTCTGTGGACGGAATGTGTACAACTACGTGCGAGAGAATTGAAGGTGGGGGGGGGGAAGAAGGTTGTTTTTACGGAATTGCCCTTGTTTCAGCGTGCCGCCTTCTATCGAGACTGAAGTTTCTCTCAGCCCCTCC